TATATATATATATATATATATATATATATAATTAAAGCTATTTTAAATCCAAAATAATCAAAATATCTTTAATTTATTTTGATCAAAATTTTTTATTCAAAATAATTTTTTATTAATTTTATTCAATCTTACATATAAAAATGAACCTAAATTCAAAATTTCATATTAATAATATATATAAATAAGAAATTTAAAATAAAAAACTAAATTCATTATTGGCCTTTGCATGGGCACAGTACAATCTAAACCAGTAAAAGGTACTGTAACTTTTAAGCAAATATTATTTCTAAAGAAAAAATTAAAAATAAAAACTAAAATTATTATTGGCCCTTGGATGAGCATGGTTCAATCTGAGCCGTGCACCTTTCAATACCAACCCGAGGTAAAAAAAATGCACATCGTTTCTTTCGTTAATAATTTGCCTTTATCTTTTATCTTTTTCTAAGTGGGAGCTGATGCAGAGTGGTTTAGTTTTTCCTGTGTTTTTGCGTTTCCATAAGAAGAAGAGCACGGATGCCCTGGTCTTCTCATGAGATGTGGTCAACTCTACATTAGAGTGGGAGCGAAGGAAGATTCGTTGTTCTTGGTTTGGCTTTTAATCGGCACCTGGAAGAGGCACAAACCACTTTCTTACCTCGTCGAGACGTTGTGATTTCCATCTATAGGCGAGAGAGAAGGGTTTGCTCTGATGAATTCGAGCGGGGCGACTACCAGCTCCGCCACCAGCGGACCTAGCGATACAGTTGCTCCCAGAAGGAATTCTAAGAGACCCAAGTGTATGTTTGTTGATTCTTTCTTTTTCTCTAATGTTGCTTATGTTTGTTGATTCTTTCTTTTTTTCTAATGTTGCTTATTTTTATTAATCGTTTGAATTTTGATTGGTTGGTTTCATAAATTGGTTCAGCTTCGGATCTATTAAGTTGTGACTCTGATTCTGTTTTCCTTGTCTTCTGTTTTGCAATTTTTCTGATTTCCTTTGTCTTCTCTTTGCAATTTTTGTGTTTCGATATTCTTTAGAATTTGCTTACTGGATCATCTTGACCGTAGCCAAATTGTTATAACTCTCATCCTTGCTGAGAACAATAGTTATCTTTAGTAATAAAGATGGTGAAACAATTTTAAGTTGAGAAACAGCAACAAAGAGAATCTCTTAACAGCCATCCAATTTGCAAAACCCCATTGGCTGCTTTGGAATTTCAGAGAGTACTGAGCACCTTTACCTTCTTTTCTCCCCCCTTCAAAATAAAGAGAAAGGTCTGTTCCCTAGGGACACTATTTATGTTTATCTTGCGTTTGTCATCGCTGTTTTAGTGTTTTGTGGTGTTCCCATTGATAAATTTTAAATTTCTCTTTTACAGATTCTAAATTTACACAACAAGAGCTTCCAGCGTGCAAGCCAATTCTTACTCCGGGTTGGGTATGCAAGTGCCTGATTATTTTTTATCTTTCATTTACTCTTTCATCTGTCATTCTTGGAGTTGGCTATGAGTTTGAGTGTTTGGTTATTTTTTTTTCTCTAGCTTTGGAGCTGCTCATTGTCAAAAAAAAACCTTTACATATCCCCCATGTTACTAAAACTGATATCAATAAGGATTTGTTGGGCTGTTTCCTAAATATCACAATTAACTTATGCTTGCAGGTTATCACTGCTTTCACACTAATTGGAATTATCTTCATTCCCATTGGGGTGGCTTCTTTGCTCGCTTCTCGTGATGTATGCTCAAATATCAATCCCCAAAAAATTAATTTTTTGTAAATTAATTGGATTTGTTCAAATGATCATTTCATATTGTTTCCTGGGTTTTATAATTTATCATTCACGCATTTACTTTTGGATTGAGAAATCTTTTTCGTTATTTCTAAGGTTGTAGAAATTGTATACCAGTATGAGACAGAGTGCATCCCTCCAAACGCAAGGAATAATAAACTTGGATATATTCAAGACCCCACAACAAATAAGAACTGCATAGCTACATTGACAGTGAGTACTGATACCCTTTTCCTCATATACCTTGAGAGTATGCTAGAATCCCATTTCCATTTGGTTTGCACCCACCATTTTTATTAGAGTATGGTAAAAAGCTTCTAAGTGGAGAATTAAACTAAAGAAATTTCTCTTTGCAGGTGCCAAAACGTATGGAAGCACCCGTTTATGTGTATTATCAGCTTGACAACTTCTACCAGAACCATCGCCGGTATGGTTACTTTTGATCCACCTTTCTTATTTAGGTCATGAAATGATTTTTATCCTTACATATGAGAATGTGAAATTCAGGTGTACATTAGGGGTGTAGGTTTGACCCTGCAAACTAATGTATCATTAGTTTTTTGGGCATTATGGGTGGTTTTTCATATGATCCAATGGCTGGTAGTGTCAAGCATATTCTCTTAATATAAGTTTTGATTTCTAAGGGATCATTCAATCTGCTATTTCTCCGTTTACACAATATGTACGCATATAATCGCTTTGTTTCCTTCATGCTATTGGAAGCGCCTCTCTCTTTCTACCATTGGGTCCTCATAGTGCTTGATGATCTTTTAATTTTAGGTATGTGAAAAGCAGAAGTGACACACAGTTACGAAGTCCTACAAATGAAAATGACACAAGCGCTTGCGACCCTGAAGACAATACCGCAAATGGGTCTCCCATTGTGCCTTGTGGTCTCATTGCTTGGAGCTTGTTCAATGACACTTATGCATTCTCACGCAACAACACCACTTTAAATGTGAACTCAAAGGGGATAGCTTGGAAGAGTGATAGGAATGCCAAGTTTGGGAGCGATGTTTTCCCCAAGAACTTCCAGAATGGGGCTTTGATTGGTGGTGCAAAGCTCGACCCCAGAAAGCCTGTTAGTGAAACCACCCAAACCATTTTCCCTATTCTTTTTTCTCAAATCAAAGAGTAGAAAATGATAGTGATAAATACTTACAAACATGACATGCTTGCATGCATGCAATGCTTGCATGTTACAAACCTACATGCACGCATGCATATATATTGCATGCATTCATGTTACAAACCTACATGCACGCATGCATATATACATACATACATGCGTGTACACACCGACCTACTTACATACCTGTGTTCATGCATGTATGTACACATTGTGGTACTAACATACACATGTATGGATGTGCATGGCAGCTAAGTGAGCAGGAGAATCTTATAGTTTGGATGCGAACTGCTGCTCTTCCGACATTTAGGAAGCTTTATGGGAGAATACAGGATGACCTTGAAGCCAATGAAAAGCTATCGGTGCAGATAGCTAACAATTACAACACGTACAGCTTTGGGGGAAAAAAAAAGCTGGTGCTTTCGACTACAAGCTGGCTTGGAGGAAAGAATGATTTCCTTGGAATTGCATATATCACAGTTGGAGGTCTCTGCTTTTTTCTTGCGACCGTCTTCTTTGTGGTCTACCTTTTCAAGCCTAGGTTCGTTGCTCGAATTGAATGCCACTAAACTTCAAGCCTTGATATAATTAGTCCTTTGAGTTGAATGCAATTAATTTTCTGTCTATATTAGTTGCTTAAAGGGACTTTAGAGCCTCAAGCCCTCGCTTTGCTGAAATTTGTTTTTGTTGCAGGCCTCTTGGTGATCCTTCGTACTTGTCATGGAATCGAAATCCTGCAGGGCACTGAGGATTTGGTTTAACTGTGTGTTTCCGGCTCTTCTCTGGTGATGACATGCTTGAATATCTTATTTGTACTGATTAAGTCATTATACCTCTTCTGTAAAACGGCCATCATATTTTATAGGTCACGTGTGCAGACTTTCATATAATTGTAAACCATTACTCTCAGACTACGATACAAATGATGTCTGCTTTTACTATCTGAATTTGTAATTTAAAAAGGAGAAGGAATTAAACATTCATGCATTATATTGTTTTCTGGAATCCTTGGTCATTATTCTTTCATTCTGGAATTTTAAAATTGTAGGTATTTGATATTAAGCCTTGGTGGTATGTAAGCTTGTAGTATTATACAAACAATTCAGCTCCATGAAATCGTTGATGTCCTACTATATTTCCATCATTTTACTGTTTGCACTTCATGATATGCTTGATCTTGACAAAACAAGTGCTCTCTAACAAATCTTGTATTTGGGTGGGATAATATGATACTTGTACCAGCATCGTAAAACTTTACATTCCTTACGTTTTCTCAACAATTCCTGAAATGTAGAATGTCTAGGCTCAAACAAAACCATTGCATCAGAAAGGAAATGACTCCGGAATATCTATGTTTGGAACCGTTTATCTTCATCTTAGATATTCCAATAGAATATATGCTTATCTATTTTCTATTTTAACTACAAAAGAAAATTATTTCTTCTATATAAAATCTATATCATAACTGAGTAACCAATTTATGAACTATTAAAAATTCTTGGCTGGCTTAAATTCTATTTACCATTGTACACAGATAAATGTCATTTAATAATAGGATGTTTGCAGTTATTCAGCTTTTGTCCTGAAGTATTAGAAAAAAAATGGCATAATTCTCTCCTAAAATGATCATGGTAGTTCAGGTGTTCCTTGGCTCGTTAAGCTATCAGAGCTATGTGTGATGAAAGCAAGGATGATGTGCTGTCGTAGTAATTAAAACAGCTGGGCTCCTGAGGGACATATCCATGTCTGAAATTGCTTGCAGAAGATACTTACTATGAGCATAGATATGGCTGGATGTCATGTTCTTTGATGCCCCAAGGTGTCACTAGAAGGACTAAAGCTGTCCACCATGGGCAGTGACTAGCTACCAATATATTGCACTCAAGTCGCTAAATCTATCCTATTTCTTTTCCCTGGTGAACCTTTTTTGGGACACGAACTGTCATTTTGAAATGGGATAGACTGCTGGAACATAAGGAGGTATCTGAAGCGGTTTTTTGATGATTCCATATCTGATTTATTGGTCGCTGTGATACTTGATTGATTGCTAACCTATAGATCGTAGACAAATAGGATTGGTGTTCAAGGTGCTGTTAACCAGTGTGCAAACTTGGAATTTTGTGCTCAGTACGACTAAAAAAACTATACAACGTCTACATATACATTACAACCAAAATTTCTCCATTAATGGACAAATACAATCCACCATTTTTCTGATACATTATTTAAAAGAAACATCATTATACCTCTAAGAAGCCCCAACATGAATTTCCATTCAATTGAACAATGGGAGATTGCATGGTTACAACTCGATACATTCTTATAGACAAAATTCAGCAACATACACCCTTGACACCCAACATGAATTTCCATTCAGTTAAACAATGGGAGATTCAGGAACATACACTTGTGAAACCCAACATGAACTTCCATTCAGTTGAAAAATGGGAGATTGCATGGTTACATCTCAAGACATACTTAGACAAAATTCAACAACATGCACTCGTAAAGTATTGCATCAAACACTATCAAAATTCTACAATTTCCATACCAATGCAATATGTTACATTACAACTTGCATGCCAACATAGAAACATGAACTACTAGTAAGCCAATTTTATCCTAGATTGCCCAGGATTACCTCCATGGGACTTAGCACATCCCGTACTGGATCTCCTTCTCGATAGCGTGGGTTATAGGGCCCCGATAGCCCGCCTCCAAGTGTGAAAGGCAAGAAGAACCTACCCTATCTCTCTCATGATACTGATGGGACTGGTACAATAGTGTGGTCGATATCCAAAAACTTTCCAACTGTGGCATGGTTGATTTTGGAGGCAAAATATCTCATATGGTGTAGAGCATGGTGTAGTACATAGGTGCAAACAGTGTATCAAAAAGCGCTAGGCGGGTCCTAGGCGGCCTGGGGGGTTTAGTCCGCGTAGCGCCTAGGCGGGGGTCTAGAACTTGGGTGGCTGCCCAGTTGAAAAAAATGTAAAAATCCCAATATACCATATTCCAAGTTGAACAAAAAAAGAAGAAAATATAGAAGTCGAGAAGAGAATTTTGATAATCCATATTGTTAAAACAGTAAACTATAAAGCCATACAAGTGTAGGATATAAAAGTCAACACTCAACACGACAAAAATATACAGTCTAACAAAAGTCAACACTCATGACTCAATACAACAGTCAACAGACTTAACACTCAACACTCAGCAGGCAGCACCAAGAGGCAAGAGTCTTCAGTCATCATCATCCTCATCAGAAGGAATATCAATGGGGCAAACCTCATCATATGCATCAGAGTCGTGACCATCATCATCAGAGTCATCTCCCTCTTCAATATAACGCTCGTCCTCATCTGTTTCTTCTCAATCTGCCTCTTCCTCCTCGTCTTCTTCTACCTTCCTCTTACTAGTATGTGCAGGCTGTGCAGATGAGGGCATAGGAGTCTTGGCTGCTCTACCCTTTTTTTTGTGCTTCCCTGAATTCAAATATTGCATAATTTCCTCCTTGATAGCCTCAAGAACATTTTTACAAGGGGCAACATCCCCCGTAATACCGGCAAGGTGTTTTTTAAACCGGTAAATGTCCCCATTAGTATCCGTTCCACAATAATTACATTTAATACGATTTTTATCACTTGGATTCGGGTTATAACCATACTTCCAACCTGGATCACCACTCTGACTAGAAACTGGAGAAGATACTTCCATAGAACAAGGCTTATTTTCATCCTTTTTTGGTTCTTCAAAATTAAGAAGATGTCTAATCTCATCTCGAACTGCTTTAGGAACCTTTGTACAAGAAGCAACATTACCTCTAACACTAACAAGGTGGTTTTTGAATCGGCTAATGCTCCCATTGGTATCTTTTTCACAAAAATTACATCTTATACAATTTTTATCATTTGGTTTTGGGTTGTACTCATACTTCCAACCCGGATCACTTTTTCTAGGAGTAGCAGAAATAGATCTGTGACAAGGATTTTGTTCTTGTTTTTGTTTTATATAACTTATAAATTGCTTAATCTCCTCTCTAATAGCTTCAGGAACATTTTTACAAGGGGCAACATCCCCCTTAATACTGACAAGATGTTTCTTAAATCGGTTTATACTTCCTTTTATATCTTTTTCACAAAAATTGCATCTAACGCAATTTTTGTCACTTGGATTTGGGTTGTATCCATATTTCCAACCCGGATCTCCACTCCAACTAACTCCTGAAGAAGACATCTCAAAATAAAACAAGTAATCTAAAAAATGCACTTACTTTGGTTGCTTGAACTCCAAACTTTGAGAAACACTTCGATGATTCAATCCAATGAAATGTAATTTTTTGGAGGCTTCTGTTACTCTAAAAGGGGTTCTGATGGGTTTAGGGTTCAAATGAACCTAAAAGCCATCATTCTTAACTTTTATATCTTTGAAAAAAATGAAAAAAAAAAGAAGAAAATTTTCCGCCTCTAGGAGAGGCACAAGCCTTGGGCGGCTGCCCATGGCTGGGCGCTAGGCGGATTCCGTACTGCCTAGGTGTCCGCATAGGGAAGACTGCTTAGTTTGACTGCCTAGGTGCTGGGTAGTCCGTTTTTTCGAACTTTGGGTGCAGATTGGGGCTTACGAAAATGGAGGACTAGGGGAGGCTATTACCTTGCTATAAATGTGGTTTCAAAGTGGAATACAATAATGTGTTGATGGCTTGATGATCCAAAATAGAGTGGGTGTAGCGTGGAGCATTTATCAGGAGCATATAGTCACATAGTCTTGAATTTGGCTAAGGCATAGGCATGAATGTACACCAAACTGTGGACCATGGGATCTCTCATGCTACGAAGCGGGGCCTGCCATACTCTTTGGAGGTGCATTGTGAGCCCTTGATCAGAGATCTATGGGGTGAGAGAGGCTTCAATCCATGCCATTCATTGTTAACTAGCTATATATATATTTGTTTTCTGAAACTGTGCTATCATAGATTAGAAGATGAGATTTGATCACCTTTATTCATTAACGAATCCAAGCCCTTGAATGTATTTAGTTTTGATTAGGTCTAGGTAATTCAAATTAGATTAATGGACAATGTTATCTGTATGATATTAATTTAGGAGAGAGAGACTCGTAAAAGGGGTGTGCTCTTTTAGATCAATAATTTCGCTCTCATGTGTAGAGTTTCCTTATCTCTCCTAAGATAATCAATTCTCTTGGCCTCACATGTGATGAATAAAATAAAATCAAGATATGTGTCATTCTCATGTGGACTAACTTCCATGTGTCAAGTGTCCACTTTGGAGGATAAAATTAGAATAGTCCTAGGTCATTCATTTGATCTCAAAGGATGTCCCTTATAGAATAGGCTACTTTATGTGTGAAATGGTCCCCCCTTCACTTTAAAACTCAAATAAACATATCTATGTCCTAAACAAACTAGGCCATAAGATGGGGGCTGCTCATGCAAATGATGTCAAGCTGGCATCAATTGTGTGTGGGTCCACATGGTGGCCCCGTTTGGACCACGTGCAGCCTATTGGCCACTTAGGACCCATGTGTCAAAGTCCCCCTATTTGTTGTTTGTAATTATTCCAAACAATTTTTTCTAGACCATTTCGGGCCACGAAGAATTATTTAAAATTCTGAAAATCCCCAAAAAATCATTTTTATTGTTTTCAAAAGGTTTGGAGGTTCAGAAAAATATCAAAGAGAAACTAGGTAGGGAGATACACAATTCCAGTGTGTTCCTCTCAGTTTAGCCTGCAATCCACGACCACTTTTTCAAATCGACCCAACGAAC